TTTATAAGTGTTCTGGGTGACATAATATCTTCTCGAATACCACTCACACTGTGATAGACAACATATATATTCTCGAATATATATTTATCATGACTTACCTTGATCCATCCATATCATCGTCTTCAAAATCATCAAGCAATCTATCATATATAGGATTGTGTTCTTTTTCACCGCTTATGGCACCATGTGATCTATTCAAATCAGCATTTTGCGCACGGCTACTATTCTATTAAGAATAATAGTTATTGTTATTGTGTTCGTATGAATAATTTTACAACATACCTCACGAGAATATTTCTCAACGATGTCTTTTACACCCCCGCCAAGTTGTACATTTCTCAGAATAGCACTAGAAAAGAAATTCATTTTTTTTTCAAATTAAACGATAACTTATATGAATATTGTTTCTTTCCTGCTTTCAAAATCAATGTTATTGTAACTCGACTAGATTTCAGATTAATAATTATTTTTACCTTGATTTTCGCATATGCTGATGTTGAACTGTTTGTAAATGTCGAATATTCTTTTCAAATTGTACCTTTATATATCAAAAGGAAAATAATATTTCAGTTTCTACACATACATATGTATATATACTAACTAAATGTTCATCTTGTACAACAGAACCTGATTTTATACGGCTGGATATGCTCCCACTATTTGATGTTCTTGATGGTGATTTTATAGAAGTTATTTCTATTGATGGTTCATTCTAGATAATAAAATTATTCAATTGGTTTTTTTACCAAAGACAACATGTAAATTCTTACACTAATCGGTTCTGGAGCTTTTGATGATAATTTATCTGGTTCAATGTCTTGATAAGGAATAGTTCTTGGACAAGCCCAACCTTGAAATTCTTGACCTTTTCTTCTAGCATAATTTTCTCGTCTTACAACATCTCTCGAGGGAAGTGATGGTTCGCATATATTTAAAATTCGCATACGTGCATAAACTGATTGATGCACAGAAGATGATCGTGTTATTGACATCCCATAATCAGTTGTTGTTGGTGAAACAAGCATCTTAACTTGATCAAATAGAAAAAAAAACACAAAATGTTCTCCTGTATTACTTTAAGTTTTTGTTTGTCTTATAATGTTCGATGTATATGCTTTTATGTGACAGCCATTCTTTGATTTCTTACCTTCTCATCAACCCTCTTTTTTTTTCTTCTCGTTCTCACCTTACACTTTCGTTACTATAATCAATGAATGTTGACAGAATTGCCAAACTAATTGTAAAACATTGTGACAACATCTAGAGAACATTTTTCTCAAGTTTGATAATGAAAAAATTTTTGTCGAGAGAGAGAATAAAAAAGGAAATGATTCCCATTCAATTATTTATATTGTTTAAATATTTACATGAGAAGGACAATTTTTATTTGAAATTAATCTAAGCTTGAATTAATTCACTGAAACCATACAATATCGAACTTTTTTTTTTAATAATAAATACCGTTCAAGTAATCCTCAAAATTTTAATTTATTCGTTTTTAATGAAATAAAAACTATGTTTTGTGATTGATCATCTGTTATGTTATTCAAGAAAAAAAAATTCTTCTTCTCTTGATAGAAGTGAAAGAAAAAATACAAAAAAATTTAATAAACTTTTATCGACAAAACAAACAATTTCTTCGGTAAAAAATAAGTGCGACATAAATGTTATTCTATCACGGGCATTCACTGCACAACTCAACGATAATACTGAATCAAAGTTAAAAAAAGAATTTTTTTCATAAGAAAAAAGGTTTTATACAAAATACGAATGGGATTTGTAGAAAAAATAACACATCTAAAACATACAATATACATATGAAATTTGATCTTCAAATAGTTTTGATAATGATCAAACTATTATTGAAATATGATACAAATACATCTATATTACTATTTTGCTTCATCTATTGTAATTATTATGAGAAAATTTCATTCTCTATGTTGATTTACACTATAAAATCTACATGGCTTACATTCGAGATAACAGCCAAAGTTATATTTAGAATCATCACATTTGTTTTATACAGAACTTAGATTTTATATGTGTTAATCATTTTATTTGGTTATTGAACTTTAAAATAAAAATATTTTTAACATATATAAGGATGCTTTTATTTCAATTTATACTTGAAAGATACAACATAAATATTATTTATTTGTTTATTTTCTTGTATAAACAAAATAATGACGAATAAATAATAAAGTAAAATTAAGAAGATTTGAGTTTTTTTTTTTAAATATTTTTTTCTTTTTATATAATTATCATTTCTTCATTATCAATGTCAACCTTAATGTAGATTGTATCATCTTTAATGTATTCAAGTGTTGCCATTGCATCTAAATCTGTAAACTTCTGTGCGCCAAAACTTGGATTACGATCCGTTACAGGACGACCTAAAAATGGTTTATTTTCTTTACATATATTTGGTTTAACAGTATAGATTATTGGACGACGATTGTTAACATCTTCACATTGATCAATTAATGTAAATGTAACACGATGTGAAAATGGCCAACTTAATAAAGAATCATAATCACCGCGACAAAGGCAAATAAACAGTGAAACATATTTTCCTTTGGCTAAATTAGATCCATATATATAAACACAAATGAGATTTATTCTATTTACCTCTTCCATCACCACATAAACAAATTGAAAGTGCTAGACGATAACCATGTCGACTAGTTAAAAATGGTGGACTAAATAATGTTGTTTTTTTATTTGTACGTGCTTCTTCAAGTCGTTCCTAATCAATGAAAATTATTATTGAAATATTTTTTTTATTTATAAAAAATTTTATTCTACCTGATAATGATCTATTTTCCATATATATTGAGCTCCATAAGTTTTTTCTAAAGCATTTACTTTTCCTGCTAATAATTCAATCCATTTCTTTTGTTCACTTATACGTTCTTCAAATGCTTGTAATAATTTCTTTTGTATTGTAATTGTTCTTCCAGCAACATTTAAATGAACACCAGGTGATTCTTTCATATGTTTAGCAATATCTATTCGTTGACCACGATAGTCACATCCACATTCATTAAATGGACAGGATAATTCTTGTTTTGGACATTCATTATCTAAATGAGATTGTATCTAAAGAAAAAAACAATAATTATTAATGATATAATATTTTTCAGAAATCTATTTACTTGTCCACGTGAAAATTCTTGATCTGAACATTGATTTGGACATGGTATTTTAAATTCCGTACAAATATTAAGATGAGGAATTTCATCTTCAAATACAACGCTTGTTTTACCTTGATCAATAGAGGAAAAAAACAATTTACGAATTGATAATAATAATAAAATAAATATTCATACAAAATTCACAAGCAACTTTTCGTTTTGGACAATCTTCTGTTTGATGTTTAGTTAAGAAACGTTTTTCAAATCTTACTCCACATTCATTCGGACAATCAATCATTACAAATCCACATGTTTCTGTATGAACCTAGGATAAAGAAAGCAACATAAATGATTTTTCTTTTCTATTCAATCATATAATTTTATTTACCGTATAATCTTTTAATGTTCCTTCCCAAGTACAACCTTTTTCTTTACTAAAACAATATACATCTAAACTTTGAATTTCTTTTTGTAACGTTTTATCATTGACAATTTTATCACGCGATACTGGTTGTTGACACGTTGGACAGCGTGGAGCAACACTAAACAAAATATGGCATATATAAATTAATTAAAAAAAAGATTTTTATTAATACCGCATGATATCTGGTAAACAACTTGAACATATATAATGACCACAATCTTCAAATTGAACTGGAAATCGTAAATAACTATTACATGCTGTACATCGATATTTTGATTCAAGTTCACCGTGTTTCCATTTTGGTTCTGGTTCAGATTTTCTATAACAAACAAATCTTATAAGTTTTTATTTACAAATGAAAAATTTTATTGGTATCTTATGGATTACATTCGTCTACTATTCTCTTATATGTCTTCTAGAAACCTACTTTGACAAGTCTAGCATAAGATCAATTATTCAAATATGATGAATGTTTAGTAAATTCAAAAAGTTATTTACCTCTTGGCTAGGCCAGTCAGGGGTCGTGATCGACTCACAGATGGAATCGAACTACGACTACGAAGTGATAACATAGAACCTTCATAAACTGGTATACTAAGTGGTGATTCTGTCATTTTTTCAAAAAAAATGTAGTAGAAATCACTTGAAGTTGGATGTTACTTTTGCAAGAATGATGTTTCTTTTTTTCTATGGCACTTTGAATATTTAATAACCTATGTCAAATATTCACACAATTTTTTTTCTCCTTTTTTTTTTTTTTTGAATATTAAAAAAGGACATTTATTGAACATGATAGCATGCAATTGCTTTTCTTAGAAAAAAACCGGAAATAAAAATAGAAAATAAGAGTCATTTGCCTCTGTTAAAAACAAAGACATTATTATTTGCATTTTTTTTCCATTCCAAAAAGACATTTCATTTTATTTACATAACGTCGGATGATGAAAAAGAAAAACTTAAGAAAAAACATATCGGAAACTAATATCAATAGTGGACGACGTCGAGATCTATTTGCTTTTTCTTTTCTTATAGACACTGTTACATATTAATATAGATGTAATTAAATCGAAGAGTGTAATAAAATATTGCCTAACGACTAAAAGCAGATTTTTTCTATGAGAATAATTTGTATTATTATCATTAATTCAACCAATTAATATTATCTAATCAATATGTCTATCTTTGTTATCTCTGGTCGATATATTATTGTTGATAAATTATGTACACTCCAACGATGAAGCTGGTAGATGAAGTAGTAGAAATATTTTATATTCTATTATAAACGTAATAGTTTATTTTCAATTAGATGTTGTCTGAAGTGCTATTGTGGAGAACTAAAGCATTTTTGACTTTAAAAACCAATAGTATTGCTTCTATTTTTTTGAATTTTAATAACTAGAAAATGATATAAAAACAAGGAAATCGAGAAAGTTAGTTATAAAATAGTATCTATTCAAAGAGTATTTTATATTAAATCTTTAAATCCTTTTTAATCATCATTTCATTCAAAAGCTATTTATAGAGTATGAATGTATATAGAAAAAATAATCACATAGATTTTGAGTATTGCCAACGGCTTTTATTTGACGAATAACAACTATAAAAATAAATAATAATATATTAATCAATAATTATGATTAATTCTTATGAAATTATCGTTTGATATTGATGAAATTACGAGCTTTGTAACAAGATGCAATCAAGTCTACATAATTTGTATTTAGTATAAATCTAATTCGATACTTAATTAATATGATATAGTATTATCATTACAATAACAAGTAACAATTAAGAAGAAAACAATGCTAATTATTATTTTGATCTGTTGAGAGAATCATGATTTTTCATAAAGTACAAATATTCGATTGCGTAAATCAATCATACAATTTCCTTTTAATCTTGTCCCGTATACATTAATTCAAAAGATATGTGAGATTAAAGATCCTTGAGATGCATTCCTATCTCGATTATTTTGATATGTGATAGTCATGTCTTGTGCTTGAAAAAGCTAAATCTGATATCTTTGTTGTTATCCAATAAACAACTCACATTTACAGCAATGAAAAAGCATCTAATGGATATTTCTTTCAAAATCATCATCATCATCATCAAGTCAAACCACTATCGCTTAATCAAATAACAATCCTAACATCAAAATAAATATTTCTTTCATCTCTTCAATAGCTAGTTCACCTTCAAGTCTATTGACATCATAGATAAGTTTTCGATTACCAGTAATATTTCTTGCTTTTTCTTTGTGCTAGTAATAGACCAGATTGTATATTAATTCAATTATATCTTATTCAATGTTTGATTATAATAATTAATAAAGAATATTATGGATATAATATTTTATTCAGTATAGTAACAATTTAATAATGCATGATTAAATAATAATATGAATAGAAGAGAAAATAGATAATCGAATCTATTAGTTTAGTTTCAAGATAACATCATGATTAACAGAAAAAAAACACAAAAAAGTTATATAATTTGTTGACTAAAATATTTATATCAAATACTTTTTTTTGTACTCAAAATACTCACATTTCATATTAAGAAAGTTAATACTAAAATTCAGATTTTTCTTTTCGCTTAAAAATACATTCTTCTTTTTAAAAGACATTTTCTTTTATGTACATAAGTTTACTCGATGAAAGAAAAATATTTAAGAAGCTTATGACAACAGACAATAACGTTAAAAATTGTTTTTATTTCTTTTTTTTTCTCTTTTTCTCTCCCTAGATACAATTCAATAATAATGAGAATGTGATTGAATTGAAAGCATCTCATTTAAGTATAACAAAACACTTCGATTGATCAACAAAAGAATCGTTTTGTAGGAGTAATCTTTAATGTTACCATCGATTTCACCGGTTATATTATTATTATATAATCAGCATCTCTGATCGATGTGGCATTATTGATAGGTTATATGCAATCCAAGCGTGATAGTAGTAGATCGAGAGGCGAAATGAATGTGTCACTTCCCCCTTCCATTCTTATGGTTGAATGCACACATTAAAGGCTGAGTATGTACATCTATACAGAAATGCGTGTATGTATATATAAGAGAGACCTCGTAAACTCATTACATATACTGTTGATCAGTAAGTTCACATATACATATTTTCTTTTGTTGTTTTTTTCTTTACGTTCCGTCACATACACATTCTCATTTTCTTGATAAAACAGAAAAGACAAAAGAGGTATCATATTCTCCATGGCTGCTGGCTAGATGAGAAGAAGCAAAAGAATAATTGCCCGTCCGAGCGCCATACTGTATAAATGCTATTACGCACGCGCATATACGCAACGAACGTAATATAAAAGAAGAGTTTTTATTTCGAAGAGAAGAAAAAAAAAGAAGAAAAAAAAAAATATGAACCAGATGCGATTGTACATTGCGGAGGGTCAACGACGATAGTAAGTTTCATATTCTCTCGTATATGTCTACGTGATCGATTGATATTCGATTGCTATGTTAAATGCTCATCGTTTTCGTTATTCAACATACTTATTAGAAAAGATATGAAGGACAACTGACAGACACTACTACTACTACTACTAATGAACGTCGAATCTGTTCTTTTCTACCATCGTTTTATTAATGCACTATAATAAGTTACCCTAGTATTACATACATACATACATGCATTTTCTTTCCTCAGTTTATACCTTGACGAAATGTGATCAACATTCTCATAACGTCTATTTACAAGTAGACTCTCCTTTTTTTTCCATTATCGCATCTGTATATTTATCGGAGAACATCGCCTATTTTTTCTAATAATCGTTATTGATTTTATCGATCAATACTGTCAAGGCAAGATAGATTGCATGTTTGTATTTGTCAGGTGTATCAAAATTATTATACTTTTTAAGTACACGCGTGCCGTGCGTCTTACAGAGAGAAAGAAAAAAAAAGAAGAAGAAGTGACGGTGACGTAATAGAAAAAAATTTTGTTGCTCTCATCGGATCCTTGAAAAGGCGTATAGGGAACGACATCGACAGGAGAAGTGCATAAAGAAGAAGAAGAAGAAGAAGAAAAAAAAAGTCGTGATTTCACTCTTCTCGTTTTTTTTTCTGTATAGTTTGTTCGAAAAATTGATTTCCTTTTACAACTACAACATCAATATATACATACATACACCTTATTGAAAAAGCTTTGTTTCCCGTCAACATATAAGTCATGGTTATTAAAGTAAGTAGTATGTACAAAGTTAAACTTCCGATTTAGTTATACAAAATCGAGGACATTTTTCGGCTATCACCGTAAATACAATCGATCTATGTCAATTATTGACAGTTAAAAAATATGTATACAGGAAATCTCTTTGGATATGTATTACGTAGTCACATCCTCTTTATTAATCGAATTGGACTTGCACGAACGATATTTCCTA